AGAAAATTTTTAAATTTCACATGTGAAATCTTTATAATGTCGAGATAGTTACCCAAACATTTCTTAAGAAAAAACTTTATATTTTATTTGTTATTTTCAGTAATTAATCTCTGTATGGGTTCGGTAGATTTGACCGATCTCACAACCACCATAAAAAATTAGGAAATAAACATAAATGTTTAGACTACAGTATGTTTATCATATTATTTAAACATTTGTTTTTTACAGGATGTATGGTCTACAGTATGTTTATCATTACTTTTAAACATTTGTTTTTGACAGGATGTACAGTCTACAGTATGTTATCATATTCTTTAAACATGTTTTTTACAGGATGTACAGTCTACAGTATGTTATCATATTCTTTAAACATGTTTTTTACAGGATGTATGGTCTACAGTATGTTTATCATTACCTTTAAACATTTGTTTTTGACAGGATGTACAGTCTACAGTATGTTTATCATTACCTTTAAACATTTGTTTTTGACAGGATGTATGGTCTACAGTATGTTTATCATATCCTTATCATTACCTTTAAACATTTGTTTATACAGGATGTACAGCCTACAGTATGTTTATCATTACCTTTAAACATTTGTTTTTGACAGGATGTACAGTCTACAGTATGTTTATCATTACCTTTAAACATTTGTTTTTGACAGGATGTATGGTCTACAGTATGTTTATCATATTCTTTAAACATGTTTTTTACAGGATGTACGGTCTACAGTATGTTTATCATTACCCTTAAACATTTGTTTTTGACAGGATGTACAGTCTACAGTATGTTTATCATATTCTTTAAACATGTTTTTTACAGGACGTACGGTCTACAGTAATCTCCAAACAGCTAGAAATAACAGAGCTTGAAAGAGGCTTGCGTAACTCAATACGAGAAGTTGAAGTAAGGAAGCCCATCTTTAAAATAAATCTATCTGGAAACTAAATATAGCTTTAAAATATACTTACTGTAAATGAACTAAACACATATATTATGTTATATTTGATGCATGAACTAATAGTGTTATTGGTTCCCGGTATTATCTGATTTTCCTTTCAGTGTGTTTCACTTAATTTTCAGATATTTAAACAATAAGATGATATGTTAGGGTTTAACGTTTTCTTGGTCACATTAAAAAGTGTATTTATACTTCAATAAAATAAACAAGCTAGTAAGGTAATCAGATAATTAATTTATAAAATAATCACAGACTAAAGGTGATAGATTAATGATTTTCTTAGTTTTAGAAGCTTGGAAGTTGTAGAACATAAAAAAAAAAAAATGTAGTAAGCTCAGTTTTTGAATCCATCATATTCAAAAATTCACTATTTTTTAAACTAGAAATAAGCAACACTCCTTTGCAAAGATCATACGTTTCCAGCTTTGTTTGGTATTTTTACAAGTTTTATCTATGTAGGTAGTCTAAATATTTTCCCTCCTCAAATTAAAGTTACAATTTGAGGGGGGGGGGGGTTTAGAGGAATCTAACTTAGGTTTAGCATTTTGTATTTGTTTTCATTACTTTGTAAAAAATAAGCGTTAATAACTCATAAGTTCCAAAACTGAACAACATCTTGGTTATAATTTTATGAAGTAGGTGATTTGAAAGGAAATATTAGACGGAATGTTTTAAAACTTAATGATGTCATTTGTCGTAATGAATAATAAACACGAATTACCCGACTTAAAATAGGCTAAATTTCATTGATTCCTTTTCAGGAAGAAATTCAAAAAACGAACAACATGATAGAGAATGTGGCATCAGATGAAGCTAATTTAGAAGCAAAAATCGAAAAGAGGAAAATTGACCTGGAGAGAAACCAGAAACGTTTACAAACCTTGAAGGCTGTAAGGTAGGTACATGTGGGTGTTTTCCTCTTTGTTTTTGGTATATATTATTATACATATTATTCTTAAAATGCTAATTTTGAAGACTTACGACACTTAAATTCGGAGCACAGGTAGTCAATTATGTAGCTTTGTGCTTAACAACAACCAAATCACTTACAAAATTTATAAAGCTTCAGATTAACATGACCTGAGCCGACAGAAACGTGTAGCTAACAAAATGTGTGGATAATCTGTGTAACTTAAGCTAGACAACAATCAACGTAATGGATGATACTAGGATTAACATGATCTGAGTTGACAAAAATGTGTAGCTAGACAACAGTGAACATAACCGATGACAATAGGATTAACATGATCTGAGTTGACAAAAATGTGTAGCTAGACAACAGTGAACATAACCGATGACAATAGGATTAACATGATCTGAGTTGACAAAAATATGTAGCTAGACAACAGTTAACATAACAG